GGGATGGAAATTTTCCTCATTCCTGACGGGATCTGACTTCCCCGACCCTATCTAACTTTCTCACCCTAACCCCGATTATATATATATATATAATGTTATATTAAATATATAAATTATTATATTATTTCTATATAATTTCAGAATGAGAGTTGGGAACGGAGGAATATGATATCCGCCCCGTTGCCGTACCTACTGGGATAGTTGCTGTGCGGAGGGTGAGAAGCAAAAGACTCTTGTTGTCTTGAGGTGGTTATGGTGTTTCTGTTTTTGGAAGCCTTGTTTTGTTTGAGCTTTTGCTGTCAAAGTGTCAAGACGGTTGTTGTTTCTGGGCTGGTTGTCCTGGGCCTTGGGACGATGGCTCAGCTGTACTTTTTTTCTATTTAATAAATCCTTTATTTTGTTTTTTCAAAAAGAAAATCATTTTTTTTTTCTTTTTAAGCCAAAGAAGACTGTTTATGTGATGTGGGCCTCCCGCCTCCGCAAAATTCATTCAATCAATCAATAACTGCCGAAAACAAATTTTGCGGAGATAAACGATGTGGCTACTTTGTCCTGTTTATGAGCAATTCTATTACAAGTTGCAACATTTTGGATTGTAACACACCGCACAATTGACGATTGTTGAGCTGATGTAAAACTCCTCTGCAGTCTGCAATCAAAGTCTGAATGCGCCAAGATGGCTCACTATTGAGTATTGACAAGTGACAACCAACAGAACAGATTCACAATGGATTCAGTTGCAAGGAGCCAAAGAGAACCTGGCCCATCTCATCTCTTATGGTAAAAATGACACCTGAACAGGAGTTAGAAACTGCCCCATCTCTGTTGACTTTGACAAATACTTGAGGAGGCTTCTACTCGGAACTTCCCTAATAGAAATGGTGGGAATCCTAATACAACCCTCGTTCACAAATCTGGAAGTACTCAAGGTCTGTTTGGTTCATAGGAATAGAGGGGTCTGAAATCAGAATTAGAATTTGGTTGGATGGAATCGGCTGATGCTATTCCTGGTGGAATGTCATTCTCCCATTTGAGGGAATGGCCTCTTCCCTTGGTAATGAGAATCTATTCCAGTCAATTCTGATTCTGACTGTAAACCAAAGGAACCCTTAGCTTTTAGATATGTATGTCACAATGATTGGGTGGCTCCATTATGACTTGGGTGATCAGGGTTTAAATCTTGGAATTAGCCTCTCTGTATGTACAGGGATAAGGCTAGGTACATCGGTCCCTCCCCAAACTCCACATTGGTAGAAGATTTGTGCATTGGGCTGCACTTTATGTTGCAGAATAGAAGCTCAAATTAAGAGAGTTTTCAACAGGGAAGCACAAACACAACTTAATAATGAGAGCTATGTTAAGATGGAACAGATTTTTTAGCCCAAGCCCACCCACATCCTTTGCGCTTTTCAATAGATTTTAATTAGTTTTAGCCCAAGCCCACTCACATCCTTGTGTCCTCTGAAACTTAATCCAAGTTTCAAGTAAGAATGACTTATAGCGAAACTGCTTAGTATTCTTTTGGGTTTTGGCAATTCAATGAATATTCAGTGTCGCTTCTTTGAGGACGTTTTCAACAACTGGGTTTCATTTATTCTTGCTACCGTAGCTTTTTTCAAGCTATATGGAAAACTAAAACGGTGTTTGTCAATGTATAATATATGGTTTTGTTTTTTAAGATATCAGAAAAATCATTAAAATATTCTTTATTTTAAAAATAATTACCCTTCTCCGATAAATAAAAACTCTGTACACACAACTTCTAGGTACACAGTGAGACTACTCCCATACATGTATGTTAAATTCATAAGTAGATATTCCTAATGTTGCATAATATGTGCAGGGTTTTTGCTTGCAAAAAATCCCATGGGCCTCTGTTACCGTCCAAACATTGATTTTGAGATGGAGAGGTCCGATTGCACTACACAATGGTTGAAGGAAATGCAAATTCCAATAAAGTGATTTTCCACTAGAAATGCAGCTTTATAAGGATACAAGTAGCTCAAATGTAAATTCTTCAACTAAGGTATGATATTACTACTACCCTGTCAAACTGAAATATGCTTGTAAGCCATTTTTATCAACTTTTAGCAGTTTTCATTACTGAGTTTATTCAAAAAATTCTCTCTCTCGCTCTCTCTCATCCTACCAGACTTATGTAAGGTTAATCTTTGGTTGGGCTTGGGTTGGTCAAATTGGGATGTCACCACAAGTTAGGTTGGGAGTCTGGACAGTTGGGCGTTAGTAGACCTTAAAGGCTTAAAACTAGACCCAATCTGTTCAATTTGCAATTCTAGTTGGGCCTGATAATATAGGTTCGTGATTTGCCCAACACCAACGAGGGATGCCTCTACCCCCAGATAGGACTGTCAATGGACCAGATATTGGTCCAATCCAATCTGGTCCGATGAGTCCATTACAGATGGATCAGGTCCGTTAAGTTCACCTCAGAATTCCTAATGTGATCGTACAATTTGGGTCAGTGTCAAGGGGGAGAAAGATTCTTAATTCAGGGGGAATGGTGTTTATGGGGGTGGGCATAAATACATTTGGGAAACCAATAAAACAATTATAAGATGGACTAATTCTGAAAAGGCCATAAATATTTTTGATTGGAGTGGTACAATTCAATGTCTTATTGGACCGTCCAATCTGTTCAAATTGGATTTAATTCAGATTGCGTCCAACCTAAACCTGGTCCCCCCTACTCTTATCTTTTATCAATGCAGGGGATATTGATTCAACCTGACCCAGTCCAATATAAATCCATTACAGATGGACCAGATCCAACCATTACAATAAATGCTTTGGACCATTAAGTCTAGATTCATCCAATTTAATATGTCTTATTGGACTGTCCAAGTCCAACCCATCAAAATTGGTTTTGAGTTGAACAGGATCTAACTCAAACCCGGCCCATTGACATCCCTACTCATAGACATACATTGATAAAAATGGTAAATCCACCTCAACTTGAGGAAACCAGACCTAATATTGGGATGGGTTGGAATTGGATAGAATCGAATCCAAACCGAACTAAGGATGACAAAGGGTAGGGTATCCATGCAGATTGCCTACTCGTTTCCAAACCCGCCTAGGTACTCTTGATCCAAAACCCGTTTAACTTTTCCTCTCAATTTTTCCAAACCCATTAAACCCATCCCACCCAATTATCATATGATCAAGTTAAACTTTTTTTTTTTCAAGTTCAATATTAAGTACATAAAAAATGTTCCTCAAAGTTCATTATGAACCAATAACATTCAATAAGAACCAATATTGCATAGAATGCTTTCATTTAGAAGAACAAAACAAAATAATATAAGTTAAAAGATAAATAAAATTAAGTGACATAAGAGGATTGTTATTCAAGAACTCGTTCTGCCTTCTAATCCCCCACTAGAATATCATCCTTAACTGAAGAGATGTACATTGAATCAACTCTTGAAGAAGAGTCTATATAGATATTTAAAAATGAGATTATCATTTCAAATTGAGTTTGAGTTTGAATTTTGACAAATAGAACCCATTTGCAATCTTAATTGTACCAATAAAATTTTAAAATAACTATAAATATTTAAAAACCACTAACAAGTATGTCACCTAAAAATAATTCTCGGATTGGACTTAAATTTACCTAGATCAATTGAGTCTCAATCCAAATTCAGACAAATAGATAGCATGCGCAATCCCAAATCCTAATAACATTAACTTAAATGGAATTTAGAAATAATTACATCAATAAATTTTTTAAAATTAATTGATAAAAAATTAAAATTCATAGACAAATATTTCACCTAGAATTTTTGCTTGGATTGGACTTAAATTTGCCAAAACCAATTGATTCTTAATTTGAATTTAGACAAATAGATGCCATTTGTATTTTGCAATCTTAAATCCTAATTATATTAATTTAAAATTCATTTAAATTTAATAATAATTTTGTGAATAAAATTTTAAAATTAACTAATAAAAATTTAAATATTGTAAATAGACAAATCACCTAAAAGCATTGTTTGAATTGGACTTGAACCTAACCAAATGCCCCAAATTTAAAAATTAACCAATTAAGAATGCCATTGGCCATAGGGCTCCTTTGTCTTGGTTTCTACTTAATTCCTCTTAATATACTATATATTATAAATTGTTTTATACTATATATTATATTACATTATATTATATCATGCTACATATTTTATTTCTTATAATTATATACAACCGGGTTTATAATCAGGTATTAGGAACAGGTAATCACGTCAAATAAAACTAGGTATTGAATATCGGATACCCTAAAGTCAAAGCCCAAATCTTATGAGGTTTTAATAAACAGGTCCTATTAGGGCCATGTCAGGTACCCAAAAAATCTCGCGAAATTACCATCCCTAAACCGAACCCAAACAGTTATTAATTAAACCCGGCTCGATTTATCAATGAACCGTTCGTTGCTCTATAAACTATAATAATTGATAAAGGGCATATCCGTAATAAAAATAAAGACAAGGACAACTCTATAGTTTTGAAAAGATGGAAGTAACGGCAACAACTGAAACTCTATCAGCAACAGTTGGAAGAGGGACGAAACACGGACTCCGGATTTCCCGCCCATACAAACTCTGTCCACGTCTACCGACACCCTTCGTGAATTGGGAACATCTCTCCTGCATAATACTATGTAATACTATATAAGAAATGAGATGTTCTCTATATGTGATGAGATATTCTCCATGTGTGACTGTGATGTTATGTAGGTAGTCGTTGGCAGAGCTTCTGTGAGCAGGAGATCGGACTCCGAAAAACACGTCCCACAGAAACAACCGCCACCCCATTCGCCTGGTTTAGAGGTTCCTTCTGTTACTACTCGCCTGGTTTAGATTCGAATCTCTCTCCCATTTCTATAGAGAGAGAGAAGAAACTCTCATTGTTCACGCCCGCTTTTACAGAGATCTAGACAAGTCTCTCTCTCTCTCTCTCTCTCCCCATACACAAAAACAAAATATACGATGGCTCGCTTGAGTAACAACTTGATCGGGTTCTTAAACATTCTGACTGCGGTCCTTTCGATTTTTATAATCGTCATAGGGTTTTTCTTTAAATTTAAAGGATTTTCCGAATGCCAGAAGCTCCTGCAACTTCCGCTCCTGATATTCGGAGCCTTCTTGCTCTTCGTATCGTTGTTGGGTTTGATCGGTTCGTGTTGCCGGGTGTCGTACCTCCTTTGCTTTTACCTCTTTGTGATGTTCCTTCTCATTGTTGCAACCTTCGTTTTCACCATCTTTGCCTTCGTAGTGACCAACAAAGGCGTTGGCAAAGTGATATCGGGAACAGGGTACAAGGAGTACAAGCTTGGCGATTACTCCAATTGGTTGCAGAAGCATGTCGTCGATGGCGACAAATGGAACAAAATCAAGAGTTGCTTGATTGATGCTCAGGTCTGCCGGAGTCTCGGACAGGATGCTAACCAGAGGACCTCCCATTTCTATCAGAAGAACTTGTCTCCGATACAGGTCTCTCTCTCTCTCTCTGTTTTTATCGTACTAACATAGATTTTGGATAACATTTTGGAATTGAGATGAACAAAAGGCTTGCATTTGATCTTGGCTAAATATTTCTATGCACAAAATATAGAAACTCTTACTTGTTATACATATACCAAAGAAGAAAATCTATATTTGTGTTGTATTATAGGTTATAGTAAGAAGTGCTCAAACAGAGAAGGCATCAGACAAGATAAAGCAGAAGCAGTTAAAACTGTTCATCCAAGGAGAAAATCTTCTAATCAATATGAAATTTGAAAATCTGAGTTGGGGTTACCTAACTCCTTTCCTAACATATTTGCTCTAGTATATATGCAGCCCCCAATTCGTGCTATTCATCAATTCTGATAAGATAAAATAGAACTTGCAGAGGAAACTCAACAAATCCGCCTTAATCCCAATTGTTTGCAGCCCACATGATTCCTGCTTTGACCCACCCCATTACACTACATAGTCTAAACATGGCCATGTTTATTGTTTAGACTACTTGGACGACACCCATTTCAGCCTTGTCTCAGTTCTTTTTCTAAAACACTATCAAACTATGCAAGAAAATCTTTTACGCCTTTCCAACATAGTAAAAGATTAACAAGATTAAGAAATTATTTTCTGTTTACTGATCATCCTTGTTTTTATTTCTATTATTTGTTTCAGTCGGGTTGCTGCAAGCCCCCAACTTACTGCAAATTCATATACAAAAATGCAACCTTCTGGAAGGTGCCTAGATCGGGCCCAGCTGTTCCAGACAGCGACTGCACAGCGTGGAGCAACCAGCAGCAGACGCTGTGCTATGGATGCAAGTCATGCAAGGCAGGGTTCCTGGCTAACCTGAGGACTGGGTGGAGGAAGATCGCCATTGTCAACATCTCTGTCCTCGTCTTCATCATGCTTGTCTACACTATCGGATGCTGCGCTTACAGAAACAGCCGAGAAGACCGCTACCGTTACCAAGGAGCCTATCACTAAACTAGCCCTACTTTGGTCCATTAGTTGCTTCATTGCTTGTTCAATTATTATCTTGATTCTTCTATATGAGATAACCTAATTGATTCTTTTCTTTTTGTGCTCTTTAGTTGCATTAAGGTTATTTATTTTCAGATGGACGGATGGAACTAGGCTGAACCAACTATACCAACATTCTATTGACCAATTCATTTTTCTTCGTAATTTATAGATTTATTGTACTTTATTATTGTTCTTCGTAATTAGATAAACTCGTTTTTCTTCTGTTGCTGGAAGCTTTGATTAAGTGAAAATTAGGCAATAGAATTATTGAGAATAAGAGGGAAACGGGTTTGATCAGGATACTGGTTTGTTTATGTGCTAGCTAATGAAGGGCAGGCATTTAGACAGAGATCGCATCGCATCTTCTCCTGCCATCTGATAATGGCTGAGTTATATTTCTATCCCAAACACCATATCCAACATTATTTTGCAAACATAACAGAATTTGTCAATTGACTACAAAGACAATGAGAGAAAAGAAAATGAAATAAACAGAAAAGGTTAAATGAAGAAAACAAAAAACATGAAGTTCTCATGTCCAGCATACCGTTGCAAAAGAAAATTGAGTGAACTCCAGAAACCTAGGTCCCTGAAACACTGAAGCAGCCATTACTTGTAATTTACCAACGATCCAAGTTCATGGAAAAGGAAACAATTCCTATTTGTTTTTTCATAGCATTTAGATAACTTCATCATTTAAAATGATAAAATAGATTTCATTTTAAATAAGTTTATGTCTATGGCAGAATCCTAGCCTACGTCTATGCAGTTCTTGTACTGACCTTTGATGGACCAACAAACGCAAGAAAAATGGTAAATAAAGAATCCTAGCCTAATCACGGAAACTTTCTTCCAACTTCTGCAAAAGGAAATCAAGAAAACGAATAAAAAATGGTAAATAAAGCATAATGATAAACCAAAGGAAAAAAAATGATTTTGTTACAACTAATATGTAATCGCAGAGAGAAGCAGAGGAATCCAAGTCTGTAAGAAAACTAGCTTATCGATTTTCGGCAAAAGAAAAATTCCCACGAATTTTTTTTTACTGCAAGAGAAATTTAAATACAACCTTTGTTGGGTTCAGGTTGATTGCATTTTTAGATCAGGATGGACTTTGGAGTTGGGCAAAACTCATACTAATTCTTGTATGAACATCCTGTGTTTCACTCCATTCACATCGTTAGCTTTGGGTCACCCTACGTGACCTCTAAAATCCGTAAATATATCCGAGCCAAATCTTAATTTGTGAAAGTTTAGTTTTTTCTTTTTAGTGGTAGTTCCTCCTTCATAGCTTCTCCTTATATGTTTTTCTAATGCTCGAGAATGGTATCTTATTTCTTTGAACCGGGTAAAATTTGTGGAGAATCTTGAACCAAATCCAATGTTAAATTTTAAATTTTTATATATACTAGTATTTGTATGTTTTGCACGTAACAAATTTTGTGAAGATAGTATATAATATATTTCCAAAATTTGTTTATAATTTTTTATATTTCTACATCTATAAAAATTATTTTTATTTATCACATTTATTATGGTTCATTAATATAAAGATATGTCCAAATAAAATTCTTGTAAAGATAACAAGAATTAATAAAATTCTTATTATTCTTATTTTTTATTTATCATTAATAAATTGTTTATTATTCTTCATAAATGAAATTAATAATTTTTTTCAGTTACCTTCATTCAGAATTTTATTTGAATTCTCGTTACCTTTTACTTTTGGAAGAATTAACTTCTATATGATAAATCATAAATCCAACTTTAGCTCCTTCAACCACTAAAACCCTTACAATGAGTTGCTATAAAAAATCACTTACTCTTGCAAATATCTTGTCATTCAATGATGTGGGCAAAGGTAACACAAATTAAAAATGAACCCACCATATGATCAAGAACTAAACCAATGAAAATAGGTTAAAAATATTTAAAAAAACAAGAATATAGTTTAAAGAACAAATTGTTCATCCATGCCATTTGCAAGTTGAAAATATATTCATGGTGGTTAATATGGCCCAACATTGGCAATTGAGAACAAAAGATGTAATTTCAAGTTTTTTTTTAATTAAATAAATTAAAGGGTAAATTGCTAAAAGCTCCTGTAAAATTTTTTATTATATTGTTCCTCGTAAAGTTTGGTAAATGCAATCACCTCCCATGAACTTTTTGACACAACTACAATTAGACCCTCTATTAAAATCTTCCAACAAAAAGCACAAAAAATGTCCAAAATACCCATATACTTACTTTTTGACTAAAATGTTTATTTTTCATTTTTTTTCATATCAATCACTACCCCAATCCCTTCTAATTTCTTTTTCGGAATTGATGTATTTTTCAAATTTGCCCTTCATATCAATTGCTCAAAGGTAAAATTGCAACTTTAAACTCTCTTTTTCATACCTCTTGCTAGAGGATTTTACAAAAGGGGTCTACTTGCAATTGTGTCAAGAAGTTTATGGGAGGTGATTGCAATTACCAAACTTCAGGGGAGGTTTGGCCAACGGTTAAAAAATTTAAGGGATGTTTCAGCAATTACCATGGTTTGTTTGCGAACTATTGAACAAAAAGAGGGATTTTTGTGTATTTTCCCAAACAAGCATTAAATGAGAATGTTAAATAACATTTTTGTCATTGACTTGTTTTACAATTATGAACAAGAAGAATGGAGTTTTTTGTCTTTTTTTGTAATAAGCATTAAATGAGAAAGAAGAGCCATTTTCTGAAGCATTAAATTAGAAAACAAAATTATATATTTACTGTTGCTAATTCTCTTATTCAAACCTTAGAGATGGGGTATTTTAGTCTAGTGAAAATATCAGAAGCCAACCACATCCGTCCGTATTTTTATAGATAGTATATATATATAGATTAAAGGAGTGTCATTATTGGGCCTCCATTTGTATTCCTTTTTAGTCTGCTTAATGAGCGAGCCCCTTATCTTGATAGGATAGATGATGACCATGGCTCGATCGGAATGACCCATTTGCTGCACCAGTAATATATTCTGACTTTTCATTCAAATGAAAAAAAGGCAAATCCTCGAGAACCTAAAGGACTGATGACAGTAGCTAATTATAAAGTGGCTTTTCTTTGAGTAGCAGCCATACGTGGAAAGCAGTTTCATCTCAACGGAATCTATTGAATTGAAAATTTTGTAGTGGTGAAGGACATCCCTTTTGACGTATTCCCCATGAATCTCTCGCTCTGTGTCTCTATTTTCTTGTTTTAGCACTCACTTGTGATTCAGAGGCCGATTCCTACTCTTTCTGCTTTTTTTTTTTTTTTCTGGTTCCTCATGACTCATAGTTTATCTATATTTTATTGATCTTTTCCTTTAGTCTATCTTTGATATATACTTCAAGAATTATTTTTTCTCAACTTTTTGTTTCTCTTAGTTTCTGTCAAACTAGACACAGCTAGCTATCGTCATAGAGCATTATCACTAAGTTAACAAGATGTTTTGTTTTTGCTTATATTATGCTCTTGTGCTTTCGATTCAATCAAGGACCTAATGGTAGTGGACTATTTTCATTTGGATTTGGATGCACCAACAGTTGCATTTAAAGTGAGATGCTTTTCTTGAAAGTAGAGTCAATTATACCAAAAAGGACATGTGTTGTACTAGTGAAAGGATTTAAGTGCTCATAATTTAACAATGGATATGGCATTAAAGAGAATGGATAGCAATACAGAACTCATGTAGCCGACCCTATATAGTTGGGATAAGAGTAGGATGATGATGATGATGATGATGAACTATAGTTTTACCAAAAGGAAAAGAATGTACCAAGACTAAAACAGTAAAAGCAGAGATCTATTCATTTCTTGAAAATAACTGGCAATTGGCAACACAATCTATAGTGGACTTCTTTAAAATAAAATGCAAATCAAAGTCGGTTGATTTCCGCTTCCCAGTTGGCTATTAGGACTGGAATTTCATGGGTTATAGTGTTATGGGTGTTTGACTGTTCAGACAGAATGGATATGGCACTAAAACAGAATGGAATGTCGAAACAAAATTCATGTAGATGACTCCCTATAGTTAGGACTAAGACTTTGATGATGATGATGATGCATTAGAGCAAGCACCAATAGAACTGAGGCTTCGGCCCTTTAAGTTGATATCATATAATCAAGAGATGACATCCTTTAATTTGTTGTTTTATCTTGAATACTCGGAGTATCCAAACATAATAGTTATATAGGAACTAGGAAGACTTGACGCCACAGTTTAGCATCGATTGGTTAATTGAGCAACAACGTGAAATTACCTGCAGAGGCAAGGAAAAGACTGTGCAGTACCAACGAACAAGAAGATAAACAACTAAAGCCAATTTAATTTATTGTTTCTTTGGAACCCAAGATAGATGGACATTGAAGGCAGGGAAAGAGGAACCCTGTATGCAACTTATTGATACAAAACAGTCAGAAAGCATAAGTTCTGTTCCTTGGTGAATCTGCAATCTTGAGAGTCCGGGCTATTAGCTTCTGGGCTTTTCTGCTTCTCATCTCTACCCTCATGCTTTCACTCTTGTCTATCTTATCGTATGGTTTCTTCGGTCGCAGCGATCTTAGTTTGGACTTCAGAGTCACCACCAACCTCTCCAAGCCCATCATCACCATGTTGAAACCTTGAAAAAGAATCCAAGCACCCTTTAACAACAAAAACAACTGCTAGATTAGTTACAGATTAAGAACATTAACAAGAAATGAACCTGTGAGATGGGCTAATTCTTTCAGCAAGAGAAATTTGTAGTACAGAAATAAATGCTATGGAGAAGAAGATTTGGGAAGAACAAAAGTGAGGGATCAAACCTGAATGAGCAACTGTTGTCTGTTGCACGTCACAGTATTAAAAGCTCTGAGTGATGGCAAGGCAAACTAAACCACGCAATTGCAATTGTTGGTGGACGGTCTCTTTACTCATTCATGAGGGCAGATTTATATGGATCACTTCATCCCAAAAACGCCATCATAGTCAATTTACCAAAGTATCCCTTTGCCCTTTTCGTAATTAAAATTATTACATGTTTTTTCTTTTTCTTTTTTTTCTGGTTAAAAAACTTCATTTAATTTCTTCAGGCATAATGATGATGATAATTATATATGTTGACGATGAATCTCTGACTCATCATCTCCCTTTTTGTGAGTTCACCAAACCTAACCTAGGTATGTACAGCGAACACACTTGGAAGAATATTTCGACATTATTGTACTGATCATATGCTTAAGAAATATTCTCCAAAGCACTAAGGACCGTTTGATAATGGCTGAAGCAGCTGAGCTTAACGAGTTATTGCTTTGCAGTTTACTGAACAAGTTATGAATAGTAGGTTGTGACTTTTGAGATTCTTAATGGCTGAGTGTCATGTTGGGTGATTATGCCTAAACATTTTATTCTATGATTAACTTATTCACTAAAAAACAAAGTAATAAGCCATTCGAATTAGTGAGCAAATGATGTATGAGTGAAACTGTGAAAGTGCCAATTGATTCTGTTGGTAAAGTCTCTTCTCTGGCTGGTTGTAGTGGAAACTTGATAGCAACTCCTGTCTTGGTCGGAATTGAAGGGTTTTCCGGTTTTCAGTTTTGGGTATGGGTAAGGTTCAAAGTATTGATAAGTATCACACAAATGAATTGGTTTTTGGAGTTATCAATACATTAAATGTAAGTAATCAGGGACAGGTGGCAACTTTAGATAACAATAATAGATAAGGATTAAGGGGGTTAACAGTGCTTGAAGCTGAAAAATTTTCAGTCTTGAGCGTATTGATACTTTGAACCATGGGTATTTCCTATTCTCAAGTTCTATGAGGCAAAAGAAAAAAAAAAAAGAAACACAAAGGTAAGTTTTCTGGTTGATGTTGGTTGATCCAGCCCCTAACCCGGTTGTTATAAACCCCAAAATGGAAGAAAAATCAGAGAGGTCAGTTGGGGAAGGTAGACATCATGGTGGGGCAGGCCCTATTGGTAGTGTCATAGTGGTGGGGTCGGGGGAAGGGGGAAAGAGGTCCCAGCTCTTTGTAGACACCTCACATTGGGTTAAAGAGGTTGGACAAATATAGTTTGGCGTTTGGAAGGGTACAACTTCTTAGAGGGGGATGAAGTGGACATACATAAAAATGTTGTTCTTTTAGGTAAAATCTGCTTTGTCTTTAGGTGTTGTTTACGTGTTTTTGACAGGGCACCAGGAGGTTCCCACCTCACTGTGTCCACACACAAATTCTCCTCATCTGCACCTTTCTTGTCTCAGATTTTACCTCTCTCTCTCTCTCTCTCTCTCTCTCTCTCTGGTCTCGGGCACTTTTGGAAGAAAATTAAGTGGTACCCGTTTAGGAGGGCAGAAGCAGCGGCTTCCATAAGCAATGTTTGGTGAAAAAAAAATCCAAAAAGCCAAATAAGCTGTTGATCATCAGCTAGTAGGACTGTTCGCTTCAGCATCTTTGAATGAGCCCAACTGATTTTCTCCTCATACCAAACCTCACAGTACATTTCTCAATGCAGGGCTGCAATGTTCTTTGAGATTGGTGTCAGGAGCGCTCTATCTGGACGAGGAAATTCAGATTCAACCTGGATGGGGCTGCAATGTGCTAGGTGACCCATCATGAATGAACACGCCACTGTCCCATATACATGCAGTGTGGTCTCCACATGGGCCCCATGTGCATGTTTGCTCTTGATAGGTTGCCTAACCCGCTGTGGATGACTTTGCTTCTAGCCCATTCCATCACAGAGAGAGCCTCACAACGCATTGTGACTGTGCATTGGGAGCATCTTCCCATCATGTATGGGAGATGTTTTTAATGCACACCTGCCTGCGATGCTCTGTAAGGGCGGTCTTAAGTGTGCTCTGTGAGGACTGAGGAACACATCCGATCTCTGATCCGCTCTTTGATCAATAGATCATGGGGGAGTGCCTTGCATGATTACCTGACCACTTGTCTGACTTAGGCAGCAGTTGTCAATAAATGACTTGTGTCATTTAGGCTCAGTTCAATCTGAGACTTATGTAGCTGAACCAAAGGTTATCTTGAGTTCAGCCCTCCGGGACATCAGTTTACATAATGACAATCAACTGAAAAGGTGCCATCTCCATCAAATTGGTGGCAAAAGGTGAAAATGCCAAGCACTGGGCTATTCTGGTCTTTGATTTTATCTTGTAGTCTGCCATGACAAATATCCTCCAGAGCTATACATCTTCCCCAACTTACTCTCATGCGCATTTGATAATTGATACCCACAAGACAAAACAACACAGATTTTTGTTTGGACTTTGGAGTTCCCTACACCCTATAGTAACAGTTATACCGCAATACAGGAACTTCTATTAACCACTCAAAAAACAGTCTATTTGTGCGACTTTGTGGATTGTTCCGACCCACTCATACAGCAACCGTCCTCCCTTCATCCAGATTAGGCATGGACAAGGACATGAGAATCAGAATCTAATGTGTTCTCATGAAAGCAAGATGAAGAAAATAATGACTAGTAGCATGTTTATAGAAAAATATAAATTATCAAGATGGTTCTCTTCTTTTTTAAATTCTAACACAAGAAGAGCAAAAGCTTATGTTTGTTAATTAATAAAGTATTGTATAGAGAAGTGTTCATTTTTGTCTAATAAGTAAGAAGAGAGAAAGAAAACATAACTGATGATGTGACTTTGTTGTAAGTGACTACTATACTGAACATATTAAATAAAGAAAAGTAAATAAAAATTGCAGTAAATTGTAGCTCAGAAAAAAATATAAAAAATTATAGAAAAATCATTCAAAATTGGGCATGTGTATATTATTAAGAAAAAAAATATGGTAAATGGGAATTATTGTTATTAAGGGATGGAAATGGCTAAAACTCAAAAAGACATAAAAAGAGAAAAAAAAAATGTTTACTGTGTGACCCACTGATTGGGTCAAATGATTCAACACTGCAACCAATTGGGTCATCAATTTATTGATCGATCGAGTCAACAGTTTTTTGAGGCAAAATGAGCTTGCAAGCAAAGCATAATTGGGTAATGAGTCAACCATTCCAACCAGCTGGTTCGACCATGGATTGAAAACTTGTGGGGTTAAAAGGTTGTGTTTGGTATGGTTGTCATTTCTACCTCAAACAAAAATGACTTGTTACATCGCATAAGATAGTGATTTCAATTAAAAAAAAAAAAATACATGCATGATATATGGTTGAAATGTCAAATTCAATATTTGAGATAGAAACAACAATTTCTATTGATCAATTCAAAACATTTTTAATAAAAAAAAGAGTAAGATAATACACAAAGTATGATAAAAAAAAATAAAAAAATCAATAATGATCTGTTCTTTTTTCTCCCTTGGTGGACAAACAATCTATGATCTTAGGGGAAAAAACTTTTAAATCTAAGGATTTTAACAAGGGAATAGCATGTCACCTAATTCATTGCTTTAATGTCAGCACCTTAAGCCCATCTTAGGGCTGGACAGCCTCACAAAAGAATACAGAAGACAGCTCCTGTCCATGATGGTGGCATAAATGTACGCCATTTGTAGCAATAATGTCATCCCATCCTATACACACATGAGATGAGAGGTCTCCATCTACACTCTGTGAGCCTCAGAAACTTTATGGACGGTTCTATCTTTTGTCCCAAAAGTGGAAGGATCGTGGGCAGTAAAGGTGGAGAATTTAGTTGCACCATTCTGCTGCAGCTTGTCAATTTATTTTAACCCATTTCTCCATTATTTGGCCTTGCAAGTTGGAACTGGTGATAACAAATTCCCAATCGTTTCCTTTATCAAGGGCTTGATCATTTCAGTATCAATGGCAGCCCAGATCTTTGCCTCTGCCAATTTATCTCATGGATTAGTTCCTTTTTTCCTCTGTATAAAATTAAGCCAACTGGATAGTTAAGATGGGTGATAAATTGATATTGTTGATTACTAATCCTATGAATCATGACTAGGTAGGCATTAGGCAATCAATTGATAAACATTTGATGGACTACTGACTTCTGTTTTCTTTTAAGCTGACTTGATTCCAAGTCTGGGGAGTTGGGACTTGGGACTCAGTTAAGTCTTACCAAGTTCACTTGATCAAAATTGCTTTCTCCAATTATCCTCAGAAGAGAAACATCACTACTTCTTATATAAGAAATTTCAGTATGCTAGTCAAGGTGAGTTCTGTTATTCATTTTGGCCTTTTTTTTGTGTCTACAGTGCAGTTTCATTTGCATGAGAACAAAAGTATGAGAGTGCAAATGAGTTTAGACCAATTTTTTGGTTTAATTTAGCTATACGTTTTACCCTTTTTTTGCAGTGAATAGTAAGTAAAAAGAATGTAATTTGAAGCAAAAATGGACCGAATTCTGCAACAGGATTTTCTGTCATCCATTGCAATACAATGTTTGAACTTTGAATCATTTGCAGGTTTGCAACTGCAACCTTTTATAGATCTGATCGCCTATCTCATTCTTCGCTCACATCTACATATTTTAACCAACCTTTCTAAGTTTTTATATCTTTATGTGCATCTCTTTTGGAAATGCCAAAATCTTCAACGCTCACCAAAAGCTGTTCTGTTCTGACCTTAATTCTCCCAGCCATCATCTATCTTTGCTAGTTATTACCCTTTGTTAGTCTATTATATCCTTCGAATCCATGGAATGGTTCTTTAGTTTACAGTCATCAACAAGGGTAGTAGCATCAATTAAGTGCCCATTTGGGAGATTCTTATGCAATGGGGGCGTTCGGCTTTACGAGGCGGGCCCCGCCCAGATAACCTATAAGCAATGTTTGGTGAAGTGAAACCCCTGAAAATTAAAGCCCATATTAGCCGTCTTTCAGCCAAGAAAATGGCTTTCCCATGAGGTTTCTTTTTAGGGGGCGTTCTTTTTTTGGATTTTCAGAGGGGGGGAAATTGGTCAATGGCT